CCTGGTCAGTTGCTGGGCCCCGCCCGTGTCCTCGGCGAAGGCGGAGCCGGGCGCCTGGTAGTGACTGTCCTCCCCACAGGCCCCCGCCCCCGGGGCTGGTGCGGACAGCTGCGTGGTGGTACACGTGGTGAGCCCCGAGGAGGAGTCCCAGCAACAAAAGCTGGACCTGCTTTGGTGGAAGCTGGATGAGCAGGCTCCTCTCACACAGGTAGGGGAGGCATGGTGGGGCCTGCAAGCTGACTGGCTCAGAGGGGACACGACTTTGGGGGAGACACTAGGCGTGGTGAATGGGGACGTGCAGCAGGTGCAGTCCTGGGAGAAGGCGGGGTCTGGAAAACGGGAACAGGTGTCCCAAGGGGCTGGGCCCGAGAGGGAGGCACTAAGCCTGATGGGAAAAGGCTGGGAGTCCGACCGGAATTCAGTTCCTTGCGGGCTTATTGCTGGAGAATCGCCAGCTGGCTCAGCCCCTGCTGCCCTCCTGACAGAAGCACCTGGTGTGTGGCCCAGTGAGAGCAGCCGGTGCGCCCAGCACCCTGACGGCACCCGAGTACTACGAGTGAGTGAGGGGGGGCCTCCGGGGACATGGAAGTGGGGGCTCTGCCCTGGCCCTCCTCTCACTCTTTTCAAAATGCAGGCTCCGGCTCGCACAGGTGCGCTCGGCCTCAGCTCTGAAGCACAGCAGGGACCTGGCACAAGGTGCGCCTGGGAGGCTCCGGCTGCCGCCTGCCTGCCCCTGGCTCCTGCCTGCAGCCTGACTGCCGCCCTCTATCCCTCAGACCCGGCCTGGACAGAAACCCTCAGGGTTCTCTCCGCGGCAACTGTCAAGTTTGAGATGCTCAGCAAGGCCCCGCAGAGCCAGGTGAGCCGGGTGCCCGCAGGACCGGGCAGGGGGCAGGCCCGGTGGCCGCCCTCGCTCTGCAGCTGTGCCTTCCTCAGCTCCTCCTCGACCTGGCCGACAGCATTTCCACCAAGGGCACCAAGAGTGGCACCTTTGTCATGTACAACTGTGCCCGCCTCGCCACACTCTTTGAGGGTTACCAGCGCGGCGTGCAACAAGGTCTGTACCCCACTTTCCCACCTGTGAGCAGCCTGGATTTCTCTCTGCTCCGTGAAGAGGTGAGTGCCCCTCCAGAAGTGGCTCCCTGGGGTGGCCTGGACTCGCCAGCCAGCAGCCTTCTTCCCACAGGGTGAGTGGCTGCTGCTCTTCAACAGCGTCCTCCCCTTCCCAGACCTCCTGAGCCAGACCACAGCCCTGGACGGGGCCCACCAAGCCCCGGGGCTCCACGTCAGTGCTCGCACGGAGATGGTGAGGCAGAGACCAGCAGACACACACACTCTTTATTCGGGTCTGGGGTACAAGGGCAAAGGCAGGCCAGTGACTCCGTCTGTCTCTAGGTGTGCAAGTTCCTGGTGCAGCTCAGCATGGACTTCAGCTCTTACTACAACCGGGTACACATCCTGGGGGTAAGCACACAGCGGGACGGGGGGGAGGGGTGCGGGGGAGGGAGCACAGGACGAGACCAGCAGGCCCTCTCTTTTTCTAGGAGCCTCGGCCACACCTGTTTGCTCAGATGTTTGCCCGGCTGCAGCTCCTGCGGGCTGTGCAGGAAGTGCTCCACATGGGCCTGGCCACGCTGGGTCTCCCTCCACTGAGCTACATCTAAGGCCAGAGTGCCAGTGTCTGGGAATGTTCACAAGGCCGTCACCTGAAAAACCCTGTTGCTTAGACGTGGAGACTAATAAATCGCTACAAAGCTTTGTTCTAGTGTGAGGCGTGGGGCATGTTCTTGGTCTGCCTAGGCAGCACTCAACTCCCCTCCAACACCTGCTCTAAAGTTGGGGGCCAGTGGCTCCCCACCCCCTGCCTGTGAGCAGGCCCCACGCCCAGGTGCCAGCCACTGTGGGGCCTCAGTCGTACCAGTTGTAAACCTCAAGTCCCTGGCCCCCGAGAGCACAGCGGTGACCAAACTCCGGGCTCACGGGCCAGCAGGCCATGTCGGCCACGTCTGGCACGTGGTACACTGTGCTGTTGATGAAGGTGGGTTCGCCATGCCCTAGGCGCCAGAAGGTCAGCCGCTGATCGATGGAGGCGGAGACCATGAGGCTGGGGCTCAGGATGTGGAGGCCTGTCACGTGAGCAGCGTGTGCACAGGGGACAGAGTGTTCCTCCAGCACGTGCAGCTGAGGTGCCAGCTCGGCACCCCCCACAGCCTCGTGCTGCTCTGGCAACTCCACAGCAAGCACAAAGACGTGGAGGGAGCCATCCTCGCTGCCACTCGCCACAAGGTGGCCCTCACATGTGGGCAAGGTGTGCAGGCTGTTGACACCACAGCTGTGAGCCTGGACGGTCAGGCAGGGGGGGCCCAGTCCTGGAGGAAAAAGGCTGTCAGAGCCGTACCTGCCACATGGGGAAGGCGGGGGCGGGGGGGTACTGCTGGTGGCCCGCCAGCTACTCACGAGAGGGCAGCCCAGGCTCTGCTGGAGGCTCCAGGGCATCGGAGCCGTGGTCCAGCACCGTGGTCAGGTCCCAGAAGGCCAGGCTGCCATCGGTGGCCGCACTGCACAGGAGCAATCTCCTGGGAGGCGGGGAAAGGTGGCTGGGTCAGTCGGGGTGACAGAAAGCAACAAGGGCGCCCAGGGACCCCGGCAGAGCCACCAGGCAGCCCTCTCACCGCCGCTGGTTGGGCGCCTGGTATGTAAAGGAGTGGACCTTGAGGACACAGCGCTGGTGGTGGAAGGTTTCAGCCAGGAGCTGCAGCCGCCGCCCAGAGTCCTGCAAATGACTTCTGTGCTTCAGACAACACCATCAAGAAAGTGAAAAGACAACCCATGGATGGGAGGAAATATTTTCAAATCATCTATATGATGGAACTTGTACACCCATAATATATAAAGAACTTTACATCCCGACAAAGGTTTGAACAGACATTTCTCTAAGTGA